TTTTTTTGGTTTTCTTTTATTCAGGTATTTATCGTCAAGCAGGACAAGAAAGTAAAATCAAACAATTATTAAATGAATGTCTTGAAGATCCATTTACTCCTACATTAACACCTGAAAATTATACTGAACATGATGTTGCTAATGCATTAAAACGTTTTCTTCGTCAATTAGATATGCCATTACTTGGTACACGTGAAAATTATAATGCATGGTTACGTTCAACAGTTGATAAGACAATTAAAAGTGAACAATTAATTCAATATTATCGTGCATTACTTAAAGATTTAAAAAAAAATTTTCCAATACATTATTCAACATTAAGAACAATGTTAATGCATATTCATACAGTTGCTATGTTATCTGAAATAAATTGTATGACTTTATCGAATCTTGTTTCAACATTTGCACCATGTCTTATATCACAAGCAACATTAGCACCAACGAATTCGATTAATGGAATCGATGACGATCGTCAAATATCATTAGATGATATGGATATGAAACGTTTTGCAAATCAAAATGAACTTATTCAACAAGGATTATCAAATCTTACTGATAGTCCACAATTGACAAAACTTAAACGAAATCGATCTTTTCATAGTAAGAATGTTTGTTTTGTTTTTGGAATTGGGAAAAAATTAGGATATAAAAAGATTATGAGAAAAGTTAGAATGATATGAGTCTTGATACCTTTCTCTTGCAATTATGTTTATATAATCAAGAGAATAATATGTTACAAGTGCTGTTTCGAAATATTGAATGCGACCTAAAGTTTTATCTATATATTGTTTTAATGGTCGTAGTGATTTGTTGAAAGTTTCAGATAGAATGAAGACTTTTTTGTCTAGATAATTCTAATCTGGAATTTTAAAATATCCTAAAATTAGCTATTCTTTCAAAAGATGTTCTAGACGATTTGTTTTGCATGATTGATTTGAATGTCAATTTGAAAAACTTTTTTTCTATTTCTAGCTTCTCGTGAGTCTTTATCATCAATTTCAACATTATCTCAATTTCAATTATCACCAGCTTATATTCATGTTGCTCCATCGATTCAAGCAAATTTTGAAATAATGACTAATCTTTGTAAATATTATCGTGAATTATTTGATATAACTGATGATGAATATGAACATGAAAGAACATGTATAGAAGCATTAATATCAATACGTAATAATCCATCTATTCCACGTAAATTAGATGGTGCAATAGTTTCAGTTTATTTTGAATCTCGTGCCGATGCGTTTAATGGTTATGCAATGTTTATTTTTGAAAAAGAAACAACAGCTGATATAATTATTGATAAATTATTAAAACAAATTGATAAACATGATTGTTTTTTTTGGACTTTATTTGAAGTAATTATTGATCAAAATCTTGAACGACCAATGTATTCATGTGAAAATATATCAGAAGTTTTATATCGTTATCGAACATATTTATCACATGAATTAAATTTACAAGCAACATTTGTTGTTAAACTTAATTATATACAATTTGAAAAAGAACGTTTACAACAACGACAACAAGATTTTAATAATCAATTAGTTCAATGTGAATATTTTGATTCATTAAATGAACGATGGACACCATGTTTATGGATATTTGAAAGAGCAGTTGTAAGTTTTTCTATCGGCAAACAAATACTATTTCATTCTACGATATAATTAGATAATTTTTTGAAATTTTATGGTGACCAAAATCGGTGATCTCTTAAAGGAATGATAAATTTCAATTTCTAGAAAATTCAAATTTCTCTACATATATAATAGATGATAGAAGCCTAAGCAATATCATTGCAAGCAACTAGATTAAATATTGATTATATATAATTAAAATTCATTTTTAAATATTTAATTGAAGGGGAATACAATTTCTATTTGAGCATTGGGGCGATTCATTTTATCATGAAACAATATAGAAATGATAGTTATATTTTTGCGCTTGGATTGAATTGAGTTAGGTCAAGTAATTTATTTTTATGAGAAGAACACATAAGACGGAAATGAATTTCGTGATTCAGACTAATGTTATATGCATCATTTTTATATTCTTATTATATTAAAACCAATCTTCTGTGTTTATGTCTCAAAGCATCAAAATAAATCTTCATAAAACTTTTATCATAGTCATCTAAACTTGTTCTGTTCGAAAGTTATAAGACTTTTCTTGAAATCGTCGATTTCAGTCAATTGACCTATGATCACTCGAAAAAAGCAGCTAGATATGAATGATTCACCGTACTGAGTCCAATAATGATATTTGTTTTGAAATTCGACCATGATCTAATATTGTTATCTAATTAGTTTCAAAATGTCGACACTGTCATTACATGAAGGCGGATTGTGAAATTTCAGAAATATTGAAATAAAAGAGTCGAATTATTTCGAAATTAAAAGTAAATATTATCATTTGACTCAGCACAGTGAATCATTCATGTCTAGTTGTTTTGTTGAGTAATCATAGGTCAATTGGCTGAAAGTAGAGGTCTTTGGAAAAGTCTTATAACTCTCGAATGGAAGAAGCTCGGCCTTTGCGTAGACCGATTAGCCGTATTAAAAGTCTAAATCGAAAAAGAAATAGGTTTAGAATATCGTTTTTAGAAATTTCTACTAAGAACTGTCTTGATTGGTCAACTGCTGACTCATCAAATTTTGATATATTTCGATAGTCTCGGAAGTTCTCTTTTGAATGATGAAAACTGCAGATCTCTATGATGTTCCTATCCAAAGCATTATTCAAAAAATAGTAAAGCACATTATATTTTGAATTGAATCATATATATCACTTAGCGCAATTCTCTTGTTAGACTAGTACCAATACCAATATTAATCGACAAAAATCTTTATAATCTATGATGAAAATTTTCATTGATTTCACTTCGAGAATTTACATTATACACTTGGATTCATGTTTATAAAATGAGCATTTTTTTATGCATTAGTTCTTCCATATAGTAGATTTCTAGGGAGCTATCCAACACACTTATGTTTCATATTTCTTCTATTTCTTTTTAGTATTCCATTGCTCAATACAAAAAAAATTCTATACTTTGTCCTCTTGATTTTGCTAAGCACGTATATTTCCCTAATATAGCATAAAAAAATGTCACGTAATTCATATTGGAAAACATTCATCTATCATGAAAATACTTAAAATCTCAGTGGTTATATTTTTAGAATGTGTGTAATAATATAAAAACGTAGATTCTATTAAACTTTGTACTTCTATGTTCTTTCGTTCTTTCCAAAGTACAAAATAATAATAACAAGTGAGAAAATCTGACTTAAAAATTAACATGTGACAATTATCGTTCTTTTTTTATTCCTTCTTCTTATAAGATTAATTATGAGTTTTAAAACAGAGATAGAAAGAAAAGTTTGTTTCCGTTTATCATTGTCAATGTCAATGAGTAAGGATAATATCTATTATTTTTTTTTCTCTTATTTATTTTTAATTAGCTTAAAATTTATCGAATTTCAAATAATATTAATGATAAAACACTTAAAACAAAATTAAATTTCAATCAACAAGAATTAGAACAACAACCAATCATTTATTCATGGTCTGTTGAAGATATTTATCTTTATATTGGAACTGATTGTCGTTTTGTTGATCCATTTGATATGAGTCAATATCGAGTATTAACAATTTTACCTCCTGATATTAATCAATCAAATCAGACAGAATTACCATTTGGTATATCATTTCGTTTTGCTGATCGTAATCAAATGTTTTCATGGTATCTTGAATTAGTTCATATAAATGGACATGATAAATGGACACGACAAGCATCACGTTCAATGCCCGACGGTGTTAATTATTTACCATTACAAAATTATCATATACCATCATCAGTAATGTTAACAAGAAAAAAATCTGATGTATTTAAAAATAAATTTATTACTAAAGGATGTCATGTTGCTTCAAATTTTTGTAAACAATTACGAAAATGAATATATATTTTATGTTGTTTTTCTCTTTTTCTATTGATTAACAAGTCTCAATTGATATATATATATATATCCCTTTTTTTTCTCTCGTCTGTTTATATATATGTGGTTGGTTTCTATCTGCAAAGTTACTGTGTAGATAAATTTTGCTTTATTCTAATTTCTATTCATATGTGTGAATATAATATAAGCAGAATATTCGATTCCAATAATTATTTCTGTTTTTTTAGATGTAAATAAAAATTTATTAATATTATTAATAAAATCTAATTTGTATATAAATAGTAATATTTCAACAATCAATTTATAAAAAAAAAAAAAAAAGTCAGTATGACATGTTTACATTGCATTGTAAATATTATTAGTTATTTATAGTTTTCTATATTCTTTCACCCTCCAATCGTACTGAAAAGACACATTCTCTACTAGTTGATTATATAATGCTTATTGTGGTTATTTTGCCCTTTGTTTATATTATGAAAAACTTAGTGGGTGTTTTATTGATTCTTTAAGAAATTGTTTTGGTTTTTGATTCTATAAACTTAATTTTCTGTGTATATTTTACAGATTCATATAATCAAATAAATAGATAGGCGATGATACTCATTGTTTTGATTATAATGAATGATTTCAACAGTTTATGATTTTTTAGTTCTTTTTATATATTGGTAAAAAGAAAAATAAAGTAGATCATTCGAATTCTCGTTTACAATATACGTTATGGAAAAAAAAGAGTTACATAATCGTCTCATGGTTTATAACATATATATATATATATATATGTGATGTCGTAATCATTCGAACAAGGACATAGAAAGAGGGTAAAGCGCGCAAAGTAGAAAAAGTATGTCAGTTAAAACGAGAGAGAATAGAGAAGAAATAAAGAACGAGCGAATAGACAGTGCTCACGTAATCAGTTGTTTCTTGTTCGAGGTCGATTTATTCTATTTCAAGAAATATATTTTATGCAGAAAAAAAACGAAACATTTTAATAATTATTCATATAATCTACATTCAAATGTTCGTCATTTTTCAGTCCAATCAACAATGTTATCTAATCATAATTATCAACAATTATTTAAAAAATCTCACTATCGATATCATAGACGAAAATTAAAACAAAATCATCGAAAAAACTTTCTATCAAAAATAAAACAATCATCATCTATCATTTATTCACATCAATTTTTATTGAATCTTCAACAATCTGGTACACGTTTTTTATCTTATACAATAACTGAACTTGAACCAATTTGTCAACAAATAGCTATACAACAAATGTCATCAACAATATCATTAATAACAACTTGTCCATTGATTTGTTTATTTTGTGAAAATTTAATATATGAACCTATAACACTTTATTGTGGTCATACATATTGTGAACAATGTATTAAAGATAAAGAACTTTCTTTATTATCAATAAATTGTTTACGTTGTTCAAAAGATATTCAAGGACAAATACAATCACCAATTGTACATGCAAGAGAAAAATTTTATAGTAAAAATCATTTTCTTAAACAAATTATTGAACGTATAGATAAATTAAAATTTAAATGTGAAAATATTTTATTATGTCATAGAGCACAAAATGAATATGAAAATAACAATTATCAACAAGCAATTGATATTTATTCAAATATATTAGAACAATGTAAGAAAAATTATTCTTAGAAGTCATTTTATTAGTTTACTAATTTCTTTATTTCTTTATTTTTTGTTAAGATGATGATGATGATCATATTGTATTGTATGGTCGAGCTAAAACATATATAACTTTAAAAGAATTTGATAAAGCTCTTATTGATATTGATCGAGTTATACAACTTAAACCACATTGGGCAAAAGTAAGAAATCTTTTTCTTTTTTTCATCGAAAGAAAACTGTTTTGATTCTTTTGTAAGGGTTATTATTGTCGAAGTGAAATTTTATTCGAAATGAAACGTTGTACAGCTGCATTATTATCATCATTACAAGGACTTTCAATCGACCCTGATGATCATATAGGCAAACGAATAATGGCTCGAGTTAGTGAGAAAAATTTTATTTATTATTTTTTTCATTTAATATTTTATTTTATTAAAGCATCTTCATGCTATTCTACACGATAATGATAATCAAGAAACTGCAATAACAACAGAAAATGAATCAAACATACTTCTATCAACAAATGACAATATCAAGGAAATGATAACTTCTGGTGAGAATAAATCTAATTATTATTATATATATATATGCTTAAGAACTACGTCTATATAAATCTAGACAAGTGTTATTAGTCTTATGTTGAGCAATTTATGTATCAATTTTTTCTTAACTAGTAATATATGTAATTATGAAATATATGACATTACTAATGATAAAATGATACTTTTTCAAACAAATTTGATCGAATATTCATTTTTTTTTCTCAGTGTATAATACGTAAATAGAATAGGAAAACATAATCTATTTCTGTCTAATTAAATATTTAAACAGATAAAATAATAAGAAAAAAAACAACTTTTTTCTTCCATAATTTTTTATTTGATTATATTAATGTTCTTTCAGGTACGACAGATATTAAATTACTCATGTGCAGATCAACATGTAAGCTCATCATGAGTTTTATTTTTGTATCTAAATATTTATTCATATAAATATAGCATCAGCATCATGTCTTTGTACATTATTGGATTGTAAATATTTACGTGCAAGAGATTTTGAATGTTCTATATGTGTCAAGTATAGAATATAATAAATTCTTCGTTTGGTTTTTACAGCTATGTTAATGAAATTAATTTTCTTTTAGTTTATTATGGTTTCCAGTGACAACTCCATGTGGTCATGTTTTTTGTCGGGAATGTCTTATACGTTCTATAGATAATACACAAGTTCAATGTCCAATGTGTAAAAGTTCATTAGAAGAAGTATGTGTGAGATATTTAATTTTCAAATCTTTTAATGAATTCATTGAGTTATTTCTTGATGGTTATTCAACAAAAAAAAAAATTTTTTTAAATATTTCCTTGATCTTGGTTCTTACCATTAACCACCAGAAATTATTGAATCTTAGAAGCAAACAAGAAATTAATATCCATATAATTTGTATTTGTATTCATGCTTCCAAGATTCAGTGATTTCTAAAGTGTACTTCAAAGGAAATTGATGAAATATTATTTCTTTACAGTTTTTTAAACCCATTACTCCCAATGATACTAATTCAGTAGAATTGATGCATGTGCTGATATAGTTAAATTCGGACCAAGCCATTCCGCCGTAGAGATGTAGAATAGACCATAAATGAGTATCTAGCCTTGAATGATAGATGTCCATCGCGAGTGAGAATCTGCCGCGGCTGTTTTAAACTAGAACTGCTGTTGCTAATCGAGCAGATTTGCTAAGTCTTACAGTATAACATATATGAACACCAGTATGCTGTGCAAATTTAAGTATGTTTGAAATTTCTTTCTAAAAAAGCTGCAGCCGACACGACGCCACCGTCATGAACATTTCTATCTTGAATGACATAAAGATTCTATTTATTTTTAATATGATGTTTTTTTGGGTTTTCTGGCAATTATGCTGTTATTTTATATGTAGCATGAATTATTTTTTTGAAAAATGAATCATCTCGAGGAATAATATATAGTTAGACACTTGCAAAGGCAGTTATCAGGTTTTTCATTTCTAGGGTCGTGTTAGACTCATTAGTCTTCATTTTCTTTTTATCACATGAGATCATTAGTTGTAATTTCAATGCGAAGTCACTCATTCCTATAGTTAAGGTCATTATCATCCAGATTGTGTTATTTACAAGTTTATATTAAATATATCGCGCTAGTCGTTTGTCGTATCCTATATTTCGACTGAGAAAAACTTTTTAATATTTACTCTACGTGATATGATACATTTTTTTTTACAGTGTAGGATAATCCTGTACATCTTTAGTTGATATTGCAAATTAAATAATTCTAGGAAAACCGTTTTTCATATTCCACATTACAAACATATTAAAAATGCTTCTTTCATATCTGCAGTCAAGAAAGTTTTAAAAACTACTCTGCTATATATATATATATCAATCTGGCAAACATTAGAATAATCAATCCAGGTAACTAAATAGAAAAAAACCACCGTTTTACATCATATTCGGAAACCGTCTTGACTTAATGGTTTATCACTTTAAATAGATAATATAAATGAATGAGTTTTAAAAAATAATTCAACAGAAGGTAAAGAGTTCATTTTTTTTTTAAAGTTTTTTCCTATGTTAATACAATCGCATGTGAATGAAACTGAAATTATATCACAAATTATTGAAAGTTATTTTCCAAATGAATTCAATGAACGACAACAATTATATGAACAAGAAAATATTCAAGGGTAAAATTTATATATATATATTTTTTTTCTTTTTTTTAAAATAAAAATAGAATTATTTTGAGAAAAACTATTCAATTTTAGAGCATCAATTCCTAGATTACTAATAAATAATATTGAATTAAGTATATTTGAAATTCCAATATTCGTATGTGTATTAGCTTTACCTTATTGCACATGTCCATTACATGTATTTGAACCACGTTATCGTTTAATGATGCGTCGAACAATTGAAACTCAATCACGTACATTTGGCATGTGTAAATATATTCAAGAAACAGAGTAAGAAAATAATAATAAATTTTTTTTTTTGACAAACAAAAGAAAAACATATTTTTAGTGCATTTACTGATTATGGTACATTATTATTTATACGTGGTCTTGTTTATACTCGTGATGGTCGTTCAATAGTTGATACAATAGGTCAACGACGTTTTCATGTTATTGGTCGTGGAATAAGAGATGGATACAACACAGCACATATACAACTTATCCAAGATCATTCAATTACACATGATGAATTTGATGGTTTGTTTATTTTGAAAATTTTCATTCTTTTTCAATTATTTTATTTTTTGTATTATATTAGATTTATATCAATTTAATCGTAATACTTATAATCGTGTACGTGTTTGGTTTGATCAACTTGATGCATATCGACGGACATTATTAACTCGTCAATTAGAAGGTTATCCACCATGTGATGATCTAACTCATGAATCAAGTAAACATTTATATTTATTTACAAAAATTTCAGAGACTAAGAATCGTAAAACTACTAAGTTAGCTTCATTTTATTTGACAGAACTCTTTTCTCCAACTGTTAGAACCCGATTTATTAGTCGTATTTTGATAATTCTAATCTAAATTGGATAGTTTCCCGAATATACGAGATACTTTTTTTCCGGATGACTCAAGCATCGTACCCATTTCTCAAACAAACAGAGCCCATTAGATCAAAACTTTTCGGATTCGAGTGGGTTCGAAATCAACCCAACGGGCTCTACCAGCGGTTAAAAATTTAAGATACTATACGTATATACATAAAAGAATGTAAAACATTCTACTATATATTATTAGATGCAGAATTGAATTGTTTACATTTTGTTATAAAACATTTTTCAAAAATCACTACACACAATAATTACTAACTAAAGCTGTATATTTTTTGTTGCGTAATAACTCGTTATACTATATTTTTCTTTTTAACATTTGTATAGAATTTAATTCACAATATATTAATAATTGAGATAATTGAGCGTTCAGTGTGGAAGTTCAAAACTTTGAAAAGTAATGTATCTTGTAGAATAGACCTTGCTTTATCGAATGACAAATTCCGTCCTTCTATACAATGCCCTTGCATGAAATATCACAATTCTAAATTACAGCAGTAATTTGATAGATGATTTCCAGCTATTTTATTCTGTGTTCTTCACTCATTATATCTCGTACAAGAGACATTGTAAACGAGGGCACAACCTTTCATTCAATAGAATAATGTCTGTTCTACAAAATGCACTACTTTTCAAAATGCTCTTTATAATAGTGCCTTTGAAACTAGAAAATCTTAATAACACTTTTGACCGCCGAAGAAAAGATTTTTGTCGCAAAAAATGAATCTAATTTTTCTACAAAAACAAAATAAGTTGAAACTAAAACAAAAAGTTTGTTAGTCTGAAAAATCTGCATACGAAGCCTTAAGAAGATTTCTTACGATCCTATTCGAAATCCGCATAGTTGATATCCATGAAATCCATTAGCTTTCGATGAGAAAGCGATTTCTCGTTAGAATCTTTTTTAACATTCATTAATAGGTTTTTTAATACAAAAATAAAAAAAATGAAATTTTTAATTTTATTCTTTATTAGCTGATGGACCTAGTTGGGCTTGGATAATGTTAAATTTATTACCAATTGAATCAGATCTTCAATATACAGCATTGATTTCACAATCATTTCGTACTCGTTTACAAATAATTAATGATACAATCGATTTTTTACTCAATCAACAACAACAACAACAAACAATAACTTCTACAATTGATGAATCATAGATGTTTTTTTTTGTTAGATTTGCTTACGATAACTTTCCGGTGTCTTTTTTCTTATTAAAACAAAACAGGACGAAAAACTTTTTTCATTTTATTTTTGTTACTTATCATATGTGATGTGTTTTTTTTATTTCGATAAAACAATATTCTATATAGCTACGAAAAAAAAATATATATAAGTTTCAAAATGGATATTCTTATTTATTCATTTAATGATCTCATGTTTGAGTAATTAAATGCAATAAAATTATAGTCAATACTACATGTCATTAGTATTTTAACTAAATGAAGTCTTGTGATTAAATAACAAAAGCAACAAAGAAGATAGGATTATTTATTTATAAATTCAAATTATATGTTTTGTGGTTTCTGTATAAATAAGAAAAATTTATATTTTAAAAAACTCATGCTTACGAGGGAAGTCTTCTAAACGATTAATTGTTTTCGAGTTAGGTCTGTGTGCATCTTGTAGATTCTAATGAACTATGAATATTTTGAGAAGAATTTCGGTTCTTAGTTTAACGCTATGAAGATAGTGTATTTTTAATGATGTGGTTCGAATTAATATCGTAGTTTCTCTCAACAACATCAAGAAAACTGTTTTTTTTAATGCTGACTTTTAATTTTGCATATAAACAGGCTTTAACGAGAATAATTTATTATAAAAGTTTCAGATATTTTTATTGTTTCCATCCTAAGAGATCGTTATGATATCAGCATGTCTTTCATATCGCTTCTAAACATACCAACACATTCGATGTTCTTATTTTACGATATGAACAAATCAAAAGACTTGAAACTTTGTCATTAAACTATTCTCATTAAGGTCTGTCTCTATACAAAGTTTCAAGTCGAACTATGAAAATCAGTTTTCCTAATGTTCTTGAGCGACGAGATCACAACATTGACATAAAAAAATACCGTGAAAACGCAGTATTTCCGCAGCAATAAGCTAAGAACTTAAACTCCTTCCAGGATATTCATAGTTTATTAGAATTTGCATGACGCATAAAGTAATGACCGTTGGGTTAGTCGTGAACTTGAACCTGACCGATCCGGATCTGAGAAGTTTGGATCCGACGGGTTCTAGCCTATAGTCCTGACTGGAAAGGGATTAATCAGCGGTTGATCTTTCCTCGTTAGACACATTAATTTCCAATCAAGATTCGAGTTTCATTGCTTTTAGACTGTGTTTTCTGAATGATTTCTTTGAAACGATGAAGAATTTATTTTTGATTCATTGTTTAGTGCTGTCCTCTATAAATTTTTAATTTAAATAAAATATTTCTTATTATTTTTCATTCATTCTTTTAATTATTTAGGTATATTTAAACATAATATCCATTGAAAAATAAGAATCATTCAAAAGTTTATTAGCCTCTTTGGCGGTAAATTCAACGATCTATCTTATCTATCACAAATCAATTGAATTTATATCTCTTCTAATGAATCTAAATGCAACATTAACCTCAACTGTTAGTCGTAGTTTAGTAGTAATCATCTTTTTTTCCTTCATAATTTTCTATTTTAATTTAAAACATCTAGGATTTGAATTCATCAATGTTAAATAATAGTATTGGTGCACCAACACCAAAATTAGTTTCATCGGAGACAACAAAGACACCTCTATCAGGAACAAATTTAATAGTACCTGAATGGGTTCATTGTGAAATATGTAAACGACGTGAACATAATGGTTTAAATAATACTCGATTATCACTTGGTTATTGTCATCCATGTGGTCATATTATTTGTCGAGATTGTGCCATGCATAATATAAATGGCCACAATTGTAAATAATGAAAAAAAAAAACATAATTTATAAAGAATTTTTCTTTTTGTTTTTTTTTTAATTTTCTATGTGCTCTATGTTCAAAATCGATACATATTTATCCGATTAATTCAAATGTAAGTTTATATATATATAAACTAAGAAGATTAGTTGTGTTTTTTTCTCTTAGTTACCACCACAAATAAAAGTTTTATTCATATCACGTTATGAATTAGTACATGTAACAGAAGCACAAGTACGCGAACAAGTTTATAAACTTTATTCAAATATGTATAAACAATTATTTGATGTAAAAAACAAAAAAAAGATTTTTTTTTTAAATTATTTTTGTTCTAATCTTATTAAAAAGAAATGAAATTTCTATAGGTATTTGATTATCAAGATGCAAAATGGAATCAATTAATGATGCATAGAATTGAATATGTAAAATTTCATAAAAAAAAAAAAAACATTTTTTCTAATATTATATTTTAGTTAAGACAAATGAATAAAATAAAAAAAGGAATGATGGAATTAGAAGAAACTAAACGTATAAATAAAGAATTATTAAACATTTTTCAAGGACACGAACAATTTATTCATCAAGATCATGAACGATATCAACAAAATATTCGACAATATCAATCAGTAAATTTTCAATTATTTTATTCATAAAATTATATCTTTTCTTTTTTTTTTCTTTATCTAGACAATTTCACCAGCACGACCATCATCAGTAGCTTCATCAACATCATTAAATATTGGACAACAACAACAGCGACAACAAACAAATCATAATCCTTCATCTATGATAAAACCAATGGTTACAGGACCATCACCAAATCTTCAACATCATCATGTACCTCCACCTGAACCTGATAAATTAATGACATATGAACAAGCAATGATATATGCACATCCAGCATTAAAAGATGCTTGTAAGTGTTTATATTTATGTGAAATAAATTTTAAAATTTGTTTTTCTTTTTTTTTTAATTTTGTTTTTAGTACGTTTAGCTCATCGACGTAAAATGTCGTCGAAAAATAGTGGAACAATTACTCCAAAATAGATTCGAATATTTTATTTTTTGAACTTTTATTTATTTATTTATTCATATATGTATATGTGTAGATAATTTTTGATATAAAACGTATTAACGAGTGATTTATGATAAAATGAATCTGAGAAATCAGTAAAATATGGTATTTAATAAGCATTGAATATTGCAATTTACTATTACGATCTCATATTTTCTCTAACTTGCATTTTCATCAGAGCTCTAAATCGACTAGAATAGGTCAATACGATGTTTGACTAAAAATTATCGGTTTCTAAACTGATTTTTTGCTGAGATTTTGTGCAAACTTGACCGTTGATGCAGAAGCAACATTTACTCTATTGAATGGTTAATTTTTTTGAAAGCAAAGAGCAAGTGTATAAAAAAAAGACATAGATCCATTAATAGAAGTAAACTTCTTTTCTCATGATGAAGTACTAAAAACCGTATATCTCGCTTAGTTAAATAATGCATCAATTTCTCTCTGACCTGCAAGTGTGTCCGCAACAATGATTATTTCTAATTTTAATTATAATATTTGTTGTTCTTGTGGGAAGTTAATTTGTTTAGATAAAATAATGTTCTCATATCTCTTTTTTTTCTAGTCAAATATTTATATTGAAAGGTGTTTAATTATGATTAATCTTGTACAGATGCGCATCAATTCTAGTTCAACATACTGAAGTTCTACTGATCGAACAGTTATTGATTACATCTTTTTTGTATGCATTGATCAGTTTCTCTTATATGAAAATATTACCAGTTTCAGCTGTTATTAAAAGAGTTGGTTAGCATTTGTGTTAGAATTGTTTGTCAACTTTCGATCCAGTTCCACTGAGCTGGAAGCATTGCGTATCTCATTATATGAATGGAATTACGACTGAAACTGAATAAAAATTTAATGATTTATAAATAGATCAATCGGTAATGCGATAAGACATCAGTCGACTTTCTATTATTGGACACAATCCATTCGAAACTCTGATTCCTGTTATCCTTATGATGCATTTTTGGAGAAGCAAAAAATAACATTATAATGATAGACATTGTGATTGAACACACGATAAGCAAGAAATAGCATACTGGAGACAGTGCATTCTCATCTCAAATACATAAAAAAATTACAAATAATCGTAAATCATTTTCTTTTCTATGTTAAACTGTAAATTAGCATTTAAAGTGTAATATCACAACATACATGATTTGACTTGTTTTCAAAATAGTATATAATGTACAGCAGTTCTCACGATCCAGAAATTAGTAATTCAAGGAAAATTTAGGAATTCAAAACATATCGATATATTTTATATCAACTGATTTTCTTGAATTGCTTGATTTCCATGATGGTCAGAGTCAGTTGATGTAAATATAATATATTGATATGTCTTGAATCCCTTGAATTGCCAACTTCTGGATCGTAGGAATATCTCTAAGCTATTCAAAAAACTTAAGGTTGAAACTGAAGCAACGTCGGAAACAGGAATAGAGTCGGTGTGACATCTTGTCGAAGTTACCAAGTTCTGGCAAAATATCATTCAACACAAATCTTTCAAAGCATTTGAATGCCCACGTTGCACGCTTGTTTACACTACCGCCGATATATCGTGGTTGAATGCTACTCAAAAGATAGTCGACCATTCAAGTATCAAACTTTCTAATAGACTCAATTAATACTAGAATATTTTACTGTAATGTTCAAGAAAGAAAGATCAGACTTTAAGACTTATATGAATTCATTGTGTCTATATCGTTACCAGAGCTAAACATAGGACAGGACAAAACTGTAATCTGTGTCCTATGCCTCAAATGCCCATGGTGACGCTGCCACTGGGACGTTGAGGATGCGGTAGCAGCATTCTTTTTTAAAATTCACCGCGGCGCGGCGGCAGGTTCTTCTTAAAAGATATTGCAAAACGTCGTGGATTTTCACAGGATTCAGGTATCCATAAGTGTAACACTCAGAGACTAGATGAATCTTACAGATTCATATCAATAGTTCTAGTTCAGTACAGTGATGCCACGGGTTTTCGAAAAATTTTTTGAAAACTATTGCTGCAGCGACAGATTCTCAGCTGCGATGGACATCTATGTCCATGTCTAGCTTTGATGCTTACGCATGACTTTAGTTTTAAAAGGTTGTAAACTAGCGAACTCTATCATTATAAAAAAATCTAATTGGTTATTATTCTGTTTCTCGGCAGTTCTCTTGTTTATTTGTTGTGTGTTCTGTTCTCTAGATTTCGTTCGTTATTGTCTATAATTTAATCCCTTTACTGTGTAATTACATTAAAAGAAAATGAAACTCCTTGGTCCTCTTGAATTTTCTGATATGAATTTGGGTCCACCGAATAAAAATTCTTCCATATTATGTACATCATCACGATTTACTGGTAATCAAAAATCCAAAGGAAAATCTTACAATGTCGATGTTATATTTCATCATGTTGATTTAGAACGTTCATATATATGTGGATATTTAGGAATAACTGGTTTAATTGATGAATATCCAATATTATCAACATTTTTTGATGCTGAAATCATTTCTAAACGTTATCCATTTTTAACACGTAAATGGGAAGCTGATGAAGAAGTTGATAAACAACATTGGAGTAAATTTGATGCATTTTTACCTTTTATTGATACATTTAATAATGATTCATTTGATTATGATCAATTATTAAGAGGAAAAAATTCTGATTATGTTTTTATGAGATGGAAAGAACATTTTCTTGTACCTGATCATACTGTTAGAGATATTACTGGTTTGTTTTTCTTCTTATTTTCTATGAATAAAAAGAAAAAATTTATATTTAGGTGCATCATTTGCTGGTTTTTATTATATATGTTTACAATTGAGTACAGGAAAACTACAAGGTTATTATTATCATAATTCATCTGAATGGTTTCAAAGTTTAACTTTGGAACATGTACCACAAAAGACCTCAAGTGTCTTTCAATTTCGTTAAACTTTTATATGTTTGTTAAACAATAAAGAAAACCAAAGTTTCGTTTGTATGCGTGCATGTGTGTGTGTGTGTGTGTGTAATGTTTAACTGACCTGGGTAAAATGCTAACATTCTTTTTAGTGTTTAGTGTCTCCGTGCAATTATTTTTTTTTTTTGTATATTTGTCACTTTGTTGTACTCAAAGAGAAATGACAGAAAAGTATAGGAAATGGGAGAAATGTTATGAAGTCGTGAATATAATGAATATAATAATAAATATTATTCTTTTTCAAGTTTTGTATTTCTTTTTTTCTTTTTGAATGATCTGAAGATATTATCAAATGTCATAGAGTTTAATGAATTGAAACATAATATGAATTTTACATAAATAACAAAAAAAACCAATCAGATTTCAAGATATTTCTCAATTTTGTTTTACTAAAAATTTCTATATTAAGCCTTTAATCCATGTTGGTCACTATAATGAACAATTGGATATAGAATATTTGCTCGCATCCACGAGCAACTGTCGGACTCCTTAGACAATTGTAGAAAATGAAGAAAAACATGGAATTTAAAAATTTTGCGAATATATCTTGTCGTGAATTCTATAAACTATAAATTAATAAGATAATAATCTTATTTTGAGTTATTCCATCTTTAGAAAAGATGAGTTACAAAATTGATAAGTTTCAAAAAAAAATCGCAAATTTGAAACAAAAGGTTTTTGCTAACGAGTTTACCAGAAAACCGAACCTTTAGTTTTTCAACACATACAACTCAGACACAAAATTTACTCATAGCATACGAAATGGTAGAGCGAACCATTCTCTAAAAAATGAAGTGTCTCCAAGCTCTCTACGACGTTTTTTGGTCGAACAATATCAAATTCACGGATGGACTTCTACAGAATTTTTGTCAAGTCATTCTCTCCTCCATGATCATTAGAATAACCAAAGGGTTACATGAATTTCGGACTGAGGTGAAATTTCTTTAGAACTTTCGGTCCGACCTTAAACTGACCTCATTGACCTGTAAAAAAATTTCTTTTAATTAGTTGGTACATATCGTAGTGCCGCGCAGAACGTTATAACTAGTTGTTTCATCAGTAGTTCTTCTGGAATTGCTATAATGGGTAAGTCTTATTTTTACTAGGCAAGAATAATATATCAACCTATTTACGAGCTATATAATATCGTGTGCTGAAAATAGAGATTGGTCACTTTTTTCGTCATGCAAAAGGAAGGAATCATTTTGTAAATTATATAAATTTCAAGGCTATTTAACATAATTAAATAATGAGAGAAGAAGATTTTTGATATAAATATTAAGAAAATGACATTTTAAACTTTGAAAGATTAGTCTTGTCAATAATTTAATTTTAAGAGAATCTTTCAATGAATAATTATGTTTCACTCTTAAGTAAGTAACAGATGGAACAAACGTTTTACATCGATTTCATTTCTTCTCTATCTCACAATAGAACTTTTTGTACTGTAAGTTAAAACATAAATCATGTTGAGACCATAAATCATCACTTGTACCATTAAACTAACAAATTGAAAATATCCGAATCAGTAAGTTTTGGCAAAATTCTGAAAGCTCACTTCTTGAACACGTCCGATGATTAAATAAAAAGATGAATACGCATAGTTCTCGTATTATCATATTCCTACACTAAAACTCTACTTGGACCTATCGGTTCTACGTTACGTACTTTGATTGTCTAAAAAAATGTTCGTAACAACAAAAAATACACATACAACTTCAACTGATCGTACACGTTATGAAAATTTACAATTCGAAATCTGATTGTATGAGTCTATAATAATTGTTTGAGATAACAAAAATGATGACTCGAAAAACTGAAGTATTTTGAATGTATATATTTATCAATATATTCGGATTTATAATTTTCTATTATTCAAGAAAAACAAAATACATTTTGTTTTTTCTAGAAAATTGTGAAAGGTAAGTGACTTAACAAAAGGTATTTTTCTTGTTCTTTTTTTTTTTCAAAGGTGTAAATAAGTGCCATCTGTTGCAAGTAAATCTCTGTTGGTTTAGTCGAATTTTCAATGATTCATCATTGTTTGATTTCTCGTTGGTGTGTCATGGTATTACATGTTGATTGATTTCAATTTTACAGTTATTTAATGCCGAGCACAATTTGTGTATCATGTCGTGGAGAACGATCAGCCGCTTTAGTTCGACCAAAAACAAGTGAACCATATTGTAAAATATGTTTTTTTCAAGCATTCGAACGTGAAATACATGAAACAATTGTTAAAGAACAATTATTTAAACCCGGAGAAACAATTGCTATTGCTGCAAGTGGTGGAAAAGGTATATACAAAAAAAACAAGAAAAAAAAAATTTCTTTCTTTTAAATAAATAATTATTCGTATGATTTTATTTAGATTCTACTGTTCTTGCATATGTATTAAAATTACTTAATGAACGACATTCCTATGGTCTTAATCTTGTTTTATTATCAATTGATGAAGGTATAACTGGTTATAGAGATGATTCACTTGAAACAGTAAAACGTAATCAACAACAATATGATTTACCATTAATTATTCTTACATATAAAGAATTATATGGTTGGAGTATGGTAAAAAGACATGTAGGATTTTGTATCAAAAAAGTAGATGTATTTATTTTTTTCAGGATGAAATTGTTAAAGCAGTTGGTCGTAAGAATAATTGTAAGTAAATATATTTTTTGAAGAATCAATATTAAAATTTTGAAATATTTAATGAACAAAAAAAAATGTTTACATATAACTGATGATAGATTTTACAATTGAAATCAATTTGACTTTTGAATTGATTTCAGAGGTCATCTGTGGTTTTTTGTCTGATTCAAATCATAGAAATTTAGTATCTTGTGTATATATCATGACTCTCACAAGACTAATTCAATCATTTTCACCTTGAACTAGATAGGTCCGTGATAGCGATGGGCATACATGGAACCGATAGACCGGCCGGCTTAAAGTTAACACCAGCACTGGACCGCTATTACCACTTCTAGCTATAATTAAATGTATACAACAAAAAACTATAGAATTGTCTATATGGAACATATTAAAGTTTTTTTTTGCATAATTTGCTTCCGTGAAATTCCAACACAATTTTCTTATATATTTAATGAACAACATCAATTAGGATCAATAAGAATGTGGCAAGAACCTCGATGAAAAGAAGAGACAAGTAAAAAAAGTCAAGCCAGTAGACTGGCCGATTTCATCTATGGCACTGGTCCGCCGCCACCGCTACGGCATTAGCGGCACTTCATTTTTGATACTACGTCGGCGCGGCAGATGTTTCAAAAATACTATCATGGCAGCGGCAGCTTCTTCTTTAAAGAAGACTTTAAAATTGATAGATTCAATCTAATTGTGTTAATTTAGAAGAGATTTCCGAAGAATTTCGCAAAAAACATTGCGATAGCCTTCTCTCTTCAAGAGCCACGACGGACATTTCTGCCTTGAACATGCAGTCGGAAAAATCAAATGCCCTATATCAGCTTGTGATTAGAGATGGATGAACAAAAACTCAAAAATGAAATTCGCTGGAGAAAATAATATTTTTCCATTTTATTAAAATAAACCATCCATAACGATTATCAGCTCATTGTAGTCGAATATAACAATAATGAGATTTTCGATATGTTTTTCGTTTACTTGTATAACTTACATTTCGATGATTACTCTAGTTATTAACATTATTAAATGATATATTTCTTTTGACCTTGATCTGTGCGATTTTAATCTTTCTTTTTTCGACCTATATCACTGGTACAATCATTGGAAACGTGCAGCTTAGTGTGAATATTTGCCTATGTAAAAGCAATTTCTAATAGTGTAAGAATTTTAATCTTTTGAAATATTGTGATCGATTTTCTTTACAACACAAAACTTTGCCGTGAAATATAAGACTTGCCCACACAAACGATAGTCAATAGAAAAGAAAAATACATTTGCATATAATTTGTCACTTACACCTTGTCGATTAGTATACATTTTGTGTAGAGTAAGTTTGTTTTTTTCCGTATCCGAACTAAGCAAAAACTTTCTAGCTCTTGCTCTACTCTGTACATCTTGAATTCTATGTAAACAACTATATAAATATCTATCTATTTTGACTAATACTATATTTCGATGATAGACGAGTTTAGACTACTATTTATTTTTGCTTGTTTATTTCAGGTACATTCTGTGGTGTATTTCGTCGTCAAGCTCTTGATCGTGGTGCAATGAAATTATCCGTAAATAAAATAGCTACAGGTCATAATGCAGATGATATTGCTGAAACAATTCTAATGAATATTCTTCGTGGTGATATAGCACGTCTTAAACGATGTACATCAATAATAACCGGTGATGAATCTGATGATAATGAAATTTCTGTTATACCTCGTTGTAAACCATTAAAATATGCATATGAAAAAGAAATTGTTCTTTATGCATTTTATAAACGTTTGGATTATTTTTCTACAGAATGTATTTATTCTCCAAATGCATATCGTGGTAATATAAGAACATATATAAAAGATTTAGAACGTTTAAGACCATCATCAATAATTGATATAATACATAGTGGTGAACAATTAATTGTTAAACAAACAACAAAATTACCTGTACAACGTATATGTGAACGATGTTCATATTGTTCATCAATGCCAATATGTAAAGCATGTTTATTAATTGAAGGTCTTAATAAAGGTATACCAAAATTAGGTATTGGAAAAACTGAACGTTATCGAAAAGAAATGCAACAAAAACAAGATCAATGTTGTAGTAAGTTTAGATTTTTATATAAGTATCAAATATAAAATTTGGATGATTTTTATTCTAGATGATCAATCATTATGTCATTGTATGAAAGAAAAATTATCAGTGACTGAACAAAACTAAAAATAAAAAAAAAAAAAAATTGTTTTTTTGTTTTTAATTTTTTAAATAAGATCTTTGTTTTTTTCAGATAGAATTTATTTATACATATATATATATATATACATATATTTTTAAATTCGGAATGCACGGAGAAAGAAAAGGACGATCTTCATCGACACCATCTCAGTCCATGCTTACCGATGAGACAAATACAAATACATCTACATTAATAGAATCAGCTTGCCTTCCAATCGGTTGTTCAGTTAGTGCAAAATATCGAGGAGCATTTTGTTCAGGTAAATTTTTTTATTAATAGGAATATTGAAATGTTTGTTCGTACTACTTCATGATATCGCTTCCAACTATAAACATGTACAAAGAGTTCAAATTAATCGAGACGAAAACAGTTTCAGAATCTATTTTATTAATAAAAATTTTTGTCACGTCATCTATAATATCAAAATTTATCTCATAATTGAAGATAATTTGGACTTCGGAACTACTCCAAACACATCAACATAATTAGATTGCATCGAAAACAATTCAATTCTGTCAGTATTAGCAAACTTCGAACAATATTCATTCGTATTGAAAAACTTCTTTTATAGCTTGTGAAATTTCATAAAATAAATAGTTTTATTTGCGGTTGCTTGAAAATGTAAGGTGTCCCGACCTTTTTTTTTTCTTTTTTGTTATAAAAAATAATTATATTCATCACATATATTTCGTACCGTTATGACAAACCAAAACAGTAATTATGATTTATGAATAGTCATCAGTAAGAAAGGACACAAAAAAAAAATAGCGTATTGATATAATGCGTGTCAATTACGTCGTTTTCGATATTGTTCTTTTCTTTTTTATCATGGTTGGATGAACTTTTTTTTTAATGGACTATAATGAAATTGATTGAAATGCTTTTACATTTTCTTCATAAGGTTTATTTTCAAGCAGTGGAAGATCTAAGACCTTTAGAAAAAGGATGGCGCAATCATAGGGCTAAAATGTGTTTTGATGCTTACTAGAGGCCAAGTTAACTCAGTTTTGAGCGTTTTTCTTCTCAATGCAAACAAATGAAGATCTGTTATTTTTTTCTAAGCGGGAAATGACGGCAATTAAATTCAAAATTTTGCAAAAGCCTGAGGTGTCCATTTATAATTCATGTTGTTTCTGAAAGAACAGAACTCTTCTAATTGATTACCTCTGTTTAAAATCATCTTTTTCTCATAGGTAAAACTCTTATTGTAGATAAAAATTCTAAAAACTGTTCATGTTAGTTAGATGAAATTTCAAATTGAAACTTCTTGTTACGATTTTTCTCATCATATCTTGTTGTAGGCTGGAAGTTTAGTAAAATGAACATAGCTTAAGAAAAAAGGTCTAACGGTATATTTTAAATTAATACCATGTCTATGTAAAGTTTTAAGTCGAAAATTTTGAAAACTACTGTAAGAGTATAGTATCTCAGCAGTAATAGGTAAATGGTTCGAGCTTTTCTTAAACTTATTCATAGTTCAAATTTTAAAGTAATTCAATCAGTTGAAAAACTTCCCTTATAAGATTATTATTAAAAAAAAAAAAAATGAAACAATTTATTATTTATTTTAAAGCACAAGTTAAAACAATTGAAAGACAAGTTAAATTAAAAGTTATATTAATTGATACAAATGAAACATTAATAATATCTGAAGAACAAATCGTACAACCAATTCCATTACGTATTGGCAATAAAATAAATATACGTATACCATCATCAAATCATTATGATTTAACTTCACATCTTTCACGTAGTATATTAACAACAATAATTAATAATAATGATAATTCTAATGAAAAACAAGCAATAATTAAACAAATATATGATAATAGTATATATACAGTTGTATTTAATGATGGTGATGAAAAATCTTTAAGACGTTCATCACTTTGTTTACAAGGTATACGTTTATATCAAACACGTATTGATCAACAAAAACTTCTTGAAGATATTTCAACATCATCATCATCATTATCACCAATAACAATGAATAATAATGATATAACATCAATTGTTGCTGTACGACGTCATAATAATCAAAATATATTTCCAGCATTAATACTTAAACGTAAAACATTATCTGATTATATATGGGTTAAAAGTTTTCTTAATGGTCGAGAATATATTGTTCATAAAATAAATGATGTTGAACCATATAAAAATAATTCACAAATACAATCATTATGTCGTTTAACATCAAAACAAGCAACAAAAGCATGTGATAAATATGTTAAATATAATCAAATACCAACAATATGGAAAAAGAAAAAATCTAATATTATACATGATAATCAAAATACTACAAGTGATAGTAATTCAAGTTCAAGTGAATCAGATTTTGATGATAGTGATGATGATACAATTGAAAAAAAAGATTCATTTATAGCACAATTATTTGCTTTTATGGATGATAGAGGTAAATTAAGGAGGGATTTACTTCTTAGAAAAACTCAATTATTCGAAAAAAACATAGGAAGATAAATCGAAGCTTTCGCTTTCAGAATATATATCTATATATGACTTTTTCCAAAACAATCAGAGTTTCATAGACTTAATGTTTTCTGTTTTGGAAAAACTACGTTGTCACTTGCATTAGCATTGTATAGATTTTTTTCTAGATTTGAATAAAAAAAAATTCAAACTTCTTTAGCATTTTTTCTCAAAACATGATTTCCAAGCAGGAAAATTGAAAATAACTTCCACTCGGTTCAAGCTATAACCATTATTTTTTGTTTTGTTTTGAAGCTAACTTTTGTTCAACAAGATACTTGATTCCTGGACTGAGAAAAGTGCAATTGATTGTCGTGGAATCATCTTGTTTTTTAATGCTTACTTTAACACCATGTCTGCTAAAATCCTCATAAAAAATGAATGGAAAGAAATTTCAAAATTCTGGATCACTCATTCCTGTAAATTTCAGCGCAAACGGTCCATTCTAAGTGCTAAATCGATTCTGAGAGAAGAGAATAAATCGAATATTAAAATAAAAATTATTCAAAAATCGATATACTAAGAGCAATTTACGACAAAAAAAAAACTAATACTTTTAAGAAGTATTAAAATCAAAGAAAAATTAATTTTTCAATTCTAATTTCATTTCGAAAACAGAATTAATGTATGACAACAGTTATTTCTATTATCCATTTCAAAAAAGAATGGATTCAATTGTTCGTTGAATAACTCGGCAAATGCTGATAGCTATTGAGCTCGGGTTTTTGTTATTAAAAAGAGCATGTGTGGAGGTATAAGTCTACCTGAAAATCAAAAAATACTTAGAAAAGTTTTCTAGGGGATTTTTTGGAAAATCACCGTCTGATTAGCTGTATTTTCAATTTCAATTGAACCATATTGTAGTTCAATGTCTACTTTATAAACCTCGAAATTTTTAGACATCTTCGACTCTTTCCTAGATATCTACTGGAAAATGAAATTACAGAATTTCGACCGGAAAAATTTCCCATCGAATATGCTAAAAATTTTAACCAAAAAAGAATGTTCCTTTTTCAAGACGGTGGATTTTCAAATTCACTTGAAAATGTACCTAATCAACCAAATCAGACAGTGATTTTCCAAAAAAATCCCTAGGAAACTTTTCAAATATTTTGATTCTCAGATAGACTTGTACCTCTCCCCTCTTTCCACCCATAGTCTTTCTAACAACAAAAACTCGAGCTTTCGAAATATAAATGTTTGAGTTACAATTAGTTCATCGTTAAAAATATGATATGAATCAGGACTTCTGCCTCACCCTTTATATTTATAACTTGAACAGATATATATATATAGTTGTAAACTAGAATTTCAATATTCCCAAAATAAGTTCATTCATGAGAGAGGTACACCAACTGACAACCGTCATTTTAGGTCCAGGAGGATGTAACAGTGAAGCTAACCGAGTTCGTCCCCATGGACCCCTAACTCGACGAAGGAACATTCTTATACTCAACATAAGTATCTATGGGCGACCGAAATTGCGACGTTGAATTTTTTTCGAAAGTACTTAAAAATGCCAAAGCTTCGAACAAACTTTTCTAGGTTTTTGTTAGTCTTATTGAGATCTACCTGTGAGTGCAATATGCGTACAAATGGCGTGCGTCAGCTGGCACAGTTCCCTCGTTAGTTATTATTATTGAAAGACGAAATATTGAAAGTAAATCTAATGTTTCTTTTTTTCTCTCGAACGTAATAGTAATCATTGTCTTTATTAATTAAATTAAACATTATCGATTACATATATTTCATTTTACATAATAATTATAAGAATAATAAAAAAAAAAACAAAAGGGGAAATTAAAATAAATTGAATTTTTAATATTATTTATTAAAATTTTAATTATCTTTTTTTTTGTTTAAAATACATATTTCTATTCTATATGTTACAGGTACACCAATAAACAATATACCTAAAATTCATAATTATGATCTTGATCTTCATCGGTTATTTAAAATAGTTAGTATGTTAGGTGGTTATAATAAGGTTCGAAATAAAACTCATGTTTAATTAAATTATTATTAATAATATTTTTCTTTGATTTAGGTTACAAAAAACGATCAATGGAATAAAGTTTATATAAAAATGGGTTTACCAAATGATTCAGCACCAAAAAATGGTCGATTAATTGAAAATACTTATAAAAAGTAATAAAATAACAAAAAAAAAAAATAATTAAATGATTTATTTTATTTTATTTTATTTTTATAGATATTTATTTGCATATGAAGATTTATCAAAAAAATTAGGTACAATGAATATTACAAGTGCATATTTTGGTGGTCGTACAAGTATGAATAATGATTCAAGACGAAGTTTAATACGTGTACGACAACAATCAGAAGAAAAAAAAAAATCAAAACAAATATCGACACCAATTAAACAACAAGTAAAGACATCGAAAATTCAAAAATCATGTAGTAAAAATTTTTATTTAATTGAATTTTCCAATAATTCAATAAAGTTCGTGAAGCTAATTCCAAGTATTTGCTAATATTATCGATATTCACATTTGTATTATAAATGTATGGCTCGTATAAATTTTCTCATAATAAGATATTTCCAACTAAAAACTATGTCAATCTATTATCCATCGTATAGTCTTTCTCTAGTAAAAATTTCAGCTCGAACGATTGAAATGTTGTTGAGTGTAATGATGAAAGTATTGTTTCAAATGAGCATGAAAATCATGTAGTTATATTATGATTTCTGTGTACAGTGCTTTCTTAATATCTTGAGAAATGAAAAGAATCAACATGGATTTTTAATTAATTTTGAAAACTCGTAGAAAGGGCTAAAAAACTCAGATACTTTCCAATTTTTTAGAAGTGACCTTGGTTAAATAAGGCGACTTGAATTTCATTTAGATATCATTTCTTTGACAATCTTTAACAGATTTTAATTAAAAAAGTGTGATTTAAGTCAATGCAAATAACATATTTCGAATCAGCATAAAATATTGAATTGACTTATACGTGTTTCGAAGTTTTTTCGACAAACTTTTTGTCTTGACAAAATTCAGCTGATTTTCCCCTCAGGGTTTAGTCAAAAAATGAATTTAATTAGAAAATTATTTGATCAGTGGAAAATGAGTTTTGAGCCTGTAAAACTTTATTGTATAAAACAAAAGAGCAAATAAATAACCAATAAAAATGATGTTTTCATTTAATTCACCTTTTGGCTGAATGCTGAGAGGAGTCTAGTTGAATTTTTCCGAGAAAAAAAAAGCTTCGAAGCATATATAATTTTGTATGTTGAATCAAAATAAAATATTCTTTAATATTGGTTTTAGTCTCGTAAAACACAATCGATCGATTCCAAACAAATTCTATCATCATCATCATCATCAACAACAACAACAATAAATTCTCGTCGAAAAACTATTATTCTTAATAAAACAAAATCATCAACTATTCTTTCATCAAGTACATCAGAATCTGAAACATCCGATGATGAAAGAACTATTTCATCATTATTAAATACTAAAAAATTTACAAAACAAAAATTAATTAATTCAAAACAAATTCGTTCAACTATTCAAAAAACATCTCTTATATCTAATGAAAAGAAAAAAATTATACAAACAAAACATGTATCATCATCATCATCATCATCTGATTCACCAAAAAAACATGAGCAATTAATTTCAATATCAAATAAAAAACCGAAATCAATAATCGATTCAGAAAATGATATGAAACCAGTTATAAAAATTCCTAAAATTTCTGTTGAAATTTTGTAAGTCTAACAAACAAAATAAATAATGTTGATCATCTTTTTGTTTTTTTTTTTTTAGAAAGGAATCTACATTTCCAATGCATAAATTTTCTAAAAAGTCAACATTTACTAAAGTATCCAAAGTTCATGATAACATATTGAAAAAAGATTCACATAAAGGTATATATTTTCGATAATTTATAATATCATCATTTCTAACTAAGAATATAATTGTAATCATAATCAGTGTTCAATAAAAAAAACGTCACAACTAAGACTTGTAAAGTCATTGATATACTAAATGCATGATGAGGATAGACGTTATTATTATTAACATAATGTGATAAGAGATTTCAAAATGGTTTTTATCAGCTTGTAATCAAATTTTGAATGCATCGAATTATTGCAGAAAAGATGCTTTCGATTGGGTTTCTAGAAGAGATTCTATTCAATGATAGGTTTTTCTTGGAGATTAACGAAGATATTTTTTACATGAATTATTTATATTTATACAAAACTAATATTTTCTTTAGCTAATTCCGATAAACAACAATCAAAAGCTCATGCACCGCCTCTAATTAATCAATCATTTTCAGAATCAACTAAACAGACTAGATTACAAGATTTAACAGTATTACCAGTAACACCCGTATCACCATCACCACCACCACGACCGCCACCACCACCACCACCATCTTCAATTAAAGACGAATCACCAACATTACCTTCACTTTTTACTACAATAGAAAGTATCAATAATTCAAATGATGATACATCAGGTAAATGAAACTTGTTCAGATTATGTTTGTTCTTTTTGTGTGTATGTATCCTTGAAAAAAATGTTAATGTCCTTGTAGTTCCTTCGATATTTCAAACATTAATTCCATCATCATCATCTATAACTAATCAACAAACAAACGAGATTGAAAATTTTCAAACAAATTCAAATAAACGATCATATTTCGATGAAATTTCTGAGTTCAATGATAAAGTAGATGAACAATTATCTCCATCTAAACGTTCCAGACATTCAATGTCATCTCAAAATAGTGATGAAATAATCAAGTAAATTTGTTGTTTTTTTTTTCATTGTCGAAAATAAAAATATCAAAAAAAAAAAATTATTGTTTTTCTTTTTTAAATAGTAATAATAATAATCAATCAACAAGCAATTGTATATCTAGAAATAATTCTGATACTCAATTAACATATGAAGATATACTTGTAAATGATATATTACTTGTAAAATCCGATTTTATTGGAAATCGACAATATTATGTACGATGTATTGAAAAAAATATTAATAAAAAAGAATTATATGTTGATTATAATGGATTAGATGCCAAGTAAAAAAATATTTTCTTAAAGTTTTTTTTTTTTTTTGAATTTTAATTAAATATAAATCATTTTTAGATTTCGTGAATGGATAGAATTTGATAGAATTATTAAACGTGAAAATGAAACAGAATTTAATGAAAAACCAATAATTATTGATATAAATTCAACATTATTAAATGTTAAAGATAATGAACAAGAAAAAAATCAAAATATAGAAGAAAATAAAATAAATTCAATTGATCAAGATAATGGAAGTAATTTATTTAAAATTTAGTTACATATCAAATAGATATTGTTTTTTGTTTTTCTTTACTATTCAGTATGGAAAAGTTTAGAGATTGTATCTTCAAAGGAAAATGATATTATTTCGTCTTCATCAAATTTTCAAATCAATGAATCAAATAATCAAGAGCTTCAGTAAGTTAAAATAAACTTTCGTTCAAAAATCATCATTATGTAAATTATTTGAGGGAATATTTCAAACTATCGAACACCGTTCGATTTCATGTTATAATTTTACGAGTTGATCTCGGTAAGACTAACGAGGGAAGTTCTCGAACTGATAAATTCGAGATTATATACAGTTTGAAATCAAAGAAGTTCAAATTATTACGCTTTTTGTCTTTCAATAATATCAGCTAATTCCATTGAAAACGTTATTTGTATAAATTTTGAAATCCAAAGTCGATTTCGAAAATGATCTGAAGATGAGAGGAATATAGAATTTTGTTACTAAAATGGTTGTAATTCAAATAGAAAAAATTCACGAGTACAAGTTCTTTTAGATGTTTTTTCTAAGTTCAATTCGATCTACCCAATGCGATAAGATGTGTATCTCAAATGATGTCTCCTTGACGATGTTCTCTTGTAAGAGAAGCATATCTTGTTGTATACATTTTGAAAGAATACTTAACTTTCTTTGCGAAATATCATATCGGTCATATTACTTTCTGTTTGAGTGCTAAATAAATCTTTAAGAAGACCTAATCGAAATAAAATAAGAATTGAAATCTATTATGCATTGCATTCTTTCATAGATATTTTTCTAGACCTATATGTATATTATCAAGTAGTTCAAGTGATAAACCCATAGAATTACAACAACAATCAATTTCAATTGATGATAATAAAAATATAATATCAATAAATATTGATAATGCATTTGGATCTAATGATGATAATGATAATCAATCCATTTATGAAAATGATCATATTCAAGAAATAATTCCTCAAAAACAAATACCAATTGATTCAACACTAACTATCAATGTCGAAAATATTCTTCCAACATCGGACACGTAAATTTCATTTTGTTTCTCTCATTTTATCATTCGAATTTTTTTTTTTATTGTTAGCGTGGTAAATTCATTGCAAGTTAAAGAAGAACCTATCAATACATCTTCATCTATTGAACAGTCAACATCTGCTCTAATCGAATCAAAAGCTTCTTCTCTGCCATGTAGTCCTATGGTTAACATAACTTCTGATAATCGTCGTATATCTACACGTCAACAAAAACGACGAACATTCCGTGATCCAAATAATACACAAGATTCATCTATATATACAAAGAAAAAAGCTAGATTCGATACAGATATTAATAGTAATTATAATATTGATTGTATAAACAATAATGATCATAGTCCAATACCAATGGAACAACAATCATTAGAAAGTCTGTCAATTTTTTTTGTTTTTTTTTTTTTGTGGAAATAAAATTTTATTTTTAATATCTTTTTTCTGTTTTATATTTAAAGTTAAACGATATCGAACAGTAGGAAAACGAGGTGGAAAAAAAACAGTGAATCAACAAGGTAGGCTTGAGATTTTTATTGTTTTTTTTTTTGTATTATTCTATTAATTATTTAGACAACGAAAATGAAGATTTTCATTTGAATTCACCAATGAATGCAACTTTACGACAACAATTAGAAGATATGTTTAAACATCGATCAAGTCGTTATAATTTTCTTGATCTTAGTAAAATCGATGTCTTTTTTTTTCTGTTTTATAATAATAATTTATATTTCTTTTTTAGATAGTAATCTAACGGGTGATAATCGTTTAGCTCATCTTAAAGATCATATGCGTCAATGCCAAAAAGTATTTTTTAATTTACGAAGTGCTTTAAAAAAAATTGAAAAACAAAGAAAAATATTTGTTCGACGGCAAAAATTACCAAATCCAGAAATACGATCTTATGAAGGTTAGTATCTAAAAATGACATCTTATCTTTTTTAATTATTTGAAAACAGAATTCGAAATTTTAAATAATATAATTTCAATCATTCGCAAAAAATTCCGTGAATGATTTTATTTAAAAAACAACAAGAAGAAATGTATTTTTGTCTATGTATAGTTCATACACTCTTCGATCTATAGACATTATGAGCTAAGATTAGTTAAGTAATGGATCAAAATATTTTCCACATTTTAGAACACTTCTCAACACATTAGAGATTTCATTTTAGACTTATTCGATAGAGAATTTTCTACTTTATAAAACTACTATCTTTGTTTTTCAAATAACTTTTCTTTCTCGACGCAAAGTTTAAAGGAGGAACACCCACTCAACGGTCAAAAACCAAGAAATGACGAAAAATTTTTTTATAAAGATTTCCCTAAAATTTCAAGTATACTAAAATTAAACTTTTATCGCACCCGAGCAGCTCAGGCTCGGTCGAACTTGTGCTCAGCCAGATGCTAAACAAGTCTAACCGATCTCGTCCAAGCTACAATGTTCTCCATGGAATTCTGTATCATTTGATACATGCTTCAAGATTTAAGAAGAAATATATGCGAGAAAAATTTTCGAAATAAAAAAAACCTGAAAAAATCCTTACTGTTTTGTTCAGAATTAAATTTTACACCCAGCGGCGTGAAAATAAACGTGTCATAGACCATATCGCACTTTGGAAAGCATGGTTTTCCAGAACCTGTCGCAACTGGACGTGGATTGGATAAAAAATATTCTTCTCTTTCCAACTATGAAAAATCATAGGTTTCTATCAAAAGTTATTGAAAACAAAATGGTCACCTGTCTTATATTTTAGCATGGAGAGTAGAATGTTATAGTTAGAGAATTTTAAAACATGAAAATTGTCCCAGCAATTCATTCATATTTTCGTGTATGTCTTGCAATCGTGTGTTTTTTGTTTTTTGATTGTCCTGTTTTTTGAATATACTTTATTCTTATTTTGTATAGTTACACCACCGACGACAAATGAAGTATTGTTACCATCGACATGTACATGAAAATCAAATGACAAATTTTCATTTGAATAATAGTTTTGTCTAATGTGTTTTTTCTTTTTTTCTTTTCTATTTGTTAATTGAAATTCGTTACAGTGCATCATTTATTACGAGTGTATTGATAAAAACAAAAAATATTCGAATGTTTATATTTTTTATTTCTTTTACAAATAGAAAAGATTTCTAAATAATTGTGATATTTCTAGTTCATTTTTTTATTTTTTCATTTCCAATGGAAATTTATAAATTAACCAATGTACCTGATACTCTTTACTATATACCAAATTTTATAACAATTGAAGAAGAAGAATATCTATTGTCATGTGTTAATAATGTACCTCGTACACGTTGGGTTCAATTACGTAATCGTCGTTTACAAAATTGGGGTGGACAACCACATTCTAAAGGAATGATTCAAACAGAATCATTACCAAAATGGTTAGAACCATTTACTGAACGTATTCTTAAACTTGAAAATCAAACAATATTTCCTGATCATATATTTCAATTTAATCATTGTCTAGTAAATGAATATGAATCAGGTCAAGGTATTATGCCACATACTGATGGACCTGTTTATCATCCGATTGTTTCAACTATTTCATTACAATCACATACTGTTATTGAATTTTATCGACCGATTGATAGTAATAATAAAGAGGTGAGATAAGAATTAGTAGTTTGAATAAATCAAATAGTGTCTAAATAATAGAACCTGTCGGATTGATTTCCGGACTCAGTCGAGTTTGAGCTTGCGATCAACTTAATAGGTACTATTGTAAAATTAATAGATAATTATAATTTGAAAAAAGTATCTCGTACCATCGTGATGACCAATCCAATTCTGATTAGAAAATTTAGAATATAAAAGTATGACTTTATGGAGTAGCCGAACTCTAGCTCTCAGTCATGTTAATAATTTTGTATAACAGAGAATAGACGGCAAATTCTTTTACCAAAAATTCGAATTGATCAGAATGTTGATATTATTTAGTCCGTGTTATGATGCTTTTTCGAGAAATTTCAGACACTGATTAAGACGATATATAAGCCAAAATGTTTGCATTGATTTTCTTTCTTATATACTATGTTAGTGTAGGAGGATTGTAGAGAGCCATGACAAGTTTTGTATACATATGATTTTACTGTGACATATCGTCTTTATGTTATGTATTAATTATTTTGACGGTCAAAAACTCATGTTCGCAAAAAAGAAACGTACATGAAATTTCGATTGATCCTATGAGATATGAAAATTCACAATACGAAAGCTGATAGCTCCTTTCTAGTACTATCAAACAGTGTATAAATATTTTTTTATTCATCCTATTTTTCAAAAACAAAATTATCAGCGCAGGCTTTAGAGATTTGCATGATTACGCCATCCTGCAGGATACTCAAAAACAGCTTACTTTGCATATTTTTAGCCTCAATTAGCGCTAAAACGTGGAGCATATATGCGTTCTTTTGCCTCATTATATTAATACACTTATTTATTTCTGCATTTTGAACAGAATTTATTTTTTTACTGATGCTCTATTTTATTATTTTTATTCTAATCATTGATTTAACTGACAAATAAGTCTTTTGTACATATTCACAGTATGTCTCAATGCGTTATTGTATATCTCAATAAACTATGAAATAGTGGTATTGATTAGTCTTGAAAGTTAGAACTTGATCATATGATGACTATGACAAATTAATACAACATTGTGTATCATCCTTGACATCGATCATATAATGATTTATTTGTCAAAAAAAATCAAAAACTACATCGTTTAGAACATTCGCAAACATATTCTAGCTATTTTAATTTTAAGAAATGCTTTAGGCTTGCTATTAATATCGCTTAACGCCTTTTTTTTGTTTCTAAGAATCTATAGGAAAGGAGTCTGGTATCTGTTATTCTTGGATTCTAGGAAAAATGTATTCATTTACGTCTGAATGACCCCCCCACTACTAGATCCAAAAATCATGTAAGGGCAACGTGAAAGCTTTGACTTAAAACTTATACTCGCTATTTTCCTTCGAAAAGTATATATGTGAATTCTACAAAATCTTGTGACTGATTTAGACTTGAAATTGCCAAGAATAAAGAACATATCAAAGTGTGCATTAGGGAACTTCAGCAATACGCTATAAAATTATGTTATAAGTTTTTTGTTGGAACGTACAGTGGTTATACTATCATGAGTGTTCAAGATAATAGAAATAGTGACTACAAATATTGACGGTTATCTAAAAATATTTTATTAGTCTTCAGCAAATTAAGTTAATTGTTTTATTTAAAGATACAATTGATAGAGTTTTGAATGGTTTATCTATCGATATATTTAAATTTAGAATGCTCTCTTGTTTGAGAAAAATAAAATACAATTTTTTAAAAAACTGCGAAGGGATCTTTCATTCATTAGTAGTGTTTTAGATATAAAAACACTTAAGTTTATACAATTAAAATACTTTGCAAATAAAATTTCTAGACGAAATGATGGACTATGTTTCAAAACCAAAATAACAACAATTAGCTCCCTATAATATTCTCAGACTGGAATATAAAATAAATAAAAACATGCTATCAACTAGTTACTACAGTTCAGCGTTTGGACAACACATATGTTTGCTTTGTATTAACAGCTTGTTAAAGGACGTCATGCCGAACACGTCCTCCATAAATTACTTCACTGTAATCTATGTGACCTTTTCTGTGAAACATGATCTAACAAGAATGCTGAAGTATATAGGATAGAAATTTGTACTCGTTCCTCGTCCGCAGATCATGACAGACAAGATCGATAGATTGTCACAAACGTCCCCAACAACGTCTCTCCTATATGACAGACCGTTATTAGAACTCATCGGGTTGGTTCCAGATCCAGACGTAGACTTGACCAGGTTCGGATCGAGTCTGAATTCGACGAACTCTAACAGTCACAGACCATGACAGACATTGTTGATATACAATCAAAGGCTGTAATATGAATAACGTATTGTTAACAATCTCCTTATGAATAGTAACAGTAGCTACTTCATGTTTTACATTTTAAACCTGCAGAAATTGTGCTAATAACTTTTCTTTCTGAAACCATCTAAAAAAAGTTATTTGCAATGTGTTTTTTTGCATTTATTTAGGATGTTTCATCATTTTCTGATCGTTGTATTGCTCGAGTTCTTCTTGAACCACGTAGTTTATTTATGGTTAAAGATGACATGTATTCATATTATTTGCATGGTATTGAAGAACGTCAAGAAGATACAATTAATCGAGAGAGAATAAGTAATTTTGATCGATGTAATGATAATATTAAAGATAAAGATGAACAAATATTACTACGTACAACACGAATTTCATTAACTATTCGATGTGTAGAAAAAATATCTAAATTACCAGTTGGATTGTTACGCAAATAACAATCAGTTTTTGATAATATGACAAAGAGAGAACAAAAAAAAAATTTTTTTTCTTTTTTTTTTATCATTTTTTTTTAGATGTTAATACTTCGACAATTAATATTTCGTCGTTCATTAGTTACACTAAATCTACAATGTCGTTCTTGTCTATTTCGTTTAGTAACATTTAAAAAACAACAATATCCTATTCAATTATCATCCAAATTTGTTCTACCCCGTACAGAATATTCTTTTCAATGTAAATCATTTTCATCAATATCATCTGATCAACAAAAAACTGATCGTATATGGACAATACCAAATATTCTTACATTTGCTCGTATTGGTACATCACCAATACTTGGTTATTTAATTATAAATCATCATTATACAATGTCATTATCACTTTTTATAATATCAGGTTTAACTGATTTAATTGATGGATGGATTGCACGTCGTTATCCATCACAATCATCTGCATTAGGTTCATTTCTTGATCCATTTGCTGATAAAATGCTTGTTGGTTTTGTTGTTATATCACTTGCTTATGTTAATCTTATACCTTTATGGCTTCTTGCTTTAATATTAAGTCGTGATATTGCAATAATGTGTGTTGCAGGTTATCTTCGTATTAAATCTGTTCCACCACCAAGAACATTAAAAAAAATCTTAAATATGAAAAATGCTACTGTGCAACTTTACCCAACATTTGTTAGTAAAGTATGTAAGATTATTATTTATATATCAAATCGAAATAATTTTCTCTAATACATAGATGTTCATCACGGTTGAGAATCTGTTGCTGCCGCGCCGTCATGAACATCTTTGATCTAATACCACCTAATAAGGGAACCCATCGAGTAATAATCTCTGTTTGAGCTCATATTTTGCTCACTGATAGGACTCATAGTGTAGATTATAATCTTGAAAGAGTTCGTACCATTAGGTACTTCTTCTCGAGTTATGGTCATTTTACTGAATTTTCAGCCTATTACAGGATATCACGAAAAAATTCGCAACAAGGAGTTTTAGCTTGACAATAGCTTTCATAAGCCTTATGATATTCTGAACGTTTTCAGCTCAAAAGGATGATTTCTTTTTAAGATATCGTATGCTTAAAAACTCAACTATTTTTTGGAACTCTTGTGTACCTTACACATTCTATTTTACTAAACAGAATATAAATAATCAATTAAATATCATTTTAGGTTAACACAGGTGTTCAAATTGGTCTGTTGGCATTATGTATGGCAGCACCAATTTTCGATTATCATAATACTGGTTGGATGTCAGTTATATATACATTGTCTGCACTTTCAACAGGTGTATCATGGCTTTCCTATGTTGGTAAAAGTGGTCGATCAACATTTAAAATGCTTTCACAACAAACAAAACCTCCTCATTCTTCTTCTTTATAAGTATTATTTCTTTTGTATACAAAAAAAAAAAAAAAAGAAAATCAACAAGCATGTAGAATAAAACACAGAAAAAAAATTGATTTTTGTTTTTTATAAATTTCTTATTCACAAAAATTATTGTCAGATGTCGGAGGAAGAATAGCACCTGGTGATGGTGTATTTTTTCGAGCAGATGCTGGTTCTGGTGTATATGTA